CCCCCCCCCCCCCAAAAGGTCTCCCTCCCAGCGCTGCCACCGCCTGCTTGGTGGAGCCCCGGCTCTTCCCGTCGCGTGGGTGGAGGCAGGGATTGAGCCTGGGTTGTGCTGGGCGGGCAGCAGTGGTGCTGGGAATGGGGACTGTGGCAGGGGCTATGGCAAAATTTGGGATGGCTGCAGCTCCCCCCATAGCCCCACTCCCAGTGCTGCCATAATCTGCCCTGAGTCTCCCCTCCTGGGCTCCCAAGGGAGGTGGTGCTCTCCCCTACCCTGGGGGTCTTCAGGAGGAGGTTAGATAGGCATCTGGCTGGGGTCATCTGAACCCAGCACTCTTTCTGCCTATGCATTGGGTCGGACTTGATGATCTATTGAGGTCCCTTCCAGCCCTAACATCTATCAATCTGTGAGTCCAGCCCCTGCTGAGAAGAGCCCGGCGCAGCCCCGGCTCCAGCCCACAGCTGCAGCCCACCCACCCTGTCTCGTGCAGATCCAGGGAGCACCCCCCGCCCCCCTGCCATGCCACCCGAATGAGCTGCAGCTCCATGCCACGCTGACTGGGCAGTGCCCCAAATGGGCAGCATCTGCCCCTGGCCCACATCCTCCATCACTGCAAGGGCCTTGATATGTGCCCCCATGCCCCTTCCCTCCCCTTCTACCACAACAGACTTACCAGCTGCACTCGGCTCTCCAAGCTGCCAGGCTGTGCTTCTTCCTACCTCCGTGCTGCGCGGTGGCTGCACACACACACGGGCATTTATCAGCTACATCAGGCCAATTTCCAATACAGCCAATTTTCTTTATATTTGTGCCGATCCGATATCAGACCAACGTGTCAGTGCACCTCTACCAAACAGGAGTTAGCACGTTTAAACTCGTTGAGTGCACACTTAAAGAATAGTTTGGATAAATGCTTGCAATGCAGGATTATTTCCATGTCATACGAAGTAGGAATAGAATCAAAGTCACATGAAATATAGCCAAAATAATCTTCTTGAGCTGCTCAGTTATTCATAGGCTGATCATATGGGAAATCTGGAACATCGTTCAGGACACTGCCCCCACCACGCTTTCACAAGTTGATGGGGGCAGGGTTGTATGCCACGCAAGCAATGGTGCCTGTTTGCCCGCTTGCAAGGCACTCTACTGCTCTGACTCCCAGCTAGACTCTACCCTGCACCCTTGTGTTTCCAGGATACCCATTTTAATCCCAACAGCCAGCTGGGACCAGCCTCTAAAATTTGGAACTGTCCCAACTAAAATGGGACTTATGGTCACCCTAGTTATTCAGCATCTCTGAAGTGCATTAATAAAATCTTATTTTCAGCCAACAGGATACCTGCTTCTATATTGGGCAAAGGTATCTGGTTTTGTTCCGTACTAGGAAAGGTTGTTTTTATTAATGCTCTTTAACTACTGTGTCTGTCTAATAATTAATAAAACAGGGAAAAAAAACCCCTTCTAGTTCAAAGCTTCATTTTAAATTGCAGTGTCACTAATGAATTAAAATGAACCTTATAAAAACATGAGCTGTGTTTAAAACCAAACAGTCATAAATCTAGAAAATGTATTGCAGGTTTTTAGAGAGATGGTAAAAATATTTTGCTATTGGCTTTAATACATAGTTCAGATTCATTACCTCGCCTGTGAGCACATCACGTTTGAATGATAATCCTTCACTGTGCACTAAACAAATAATTTTCCACTAGAGGGCAGTGGAAGCGTAAGAGGAGGAGGTGGTGGAAATGCCAGAGAGATCAAGATTAAGAAAACTAAAAAGAAAGGAAGAAAAGATGCTGACAGTGATGAGGAATCACAAGCAAGTAGCACAAGTTTGTAATGTTTGAATAGTTATCTATTCTTGCTGGCATGTGTCCCTCCTGCTTTTGTATGTCTTTCTATATTTCTTCTCATTAGCTCTTTGCAAATCAGGCAAAATGTCAAGCAGTACTAGCGTATTGCTCAGGTTAAATTATGTAACTGAAAAAATTCTCAATTTAAGTCAAATAAGTATTGTAACAAAGTGAACATTATAAGCTATTGTAAAAAATCAAAGTAGAAGGAGTTAGATCAGTTTTTGCTACAATCAAGTTGATATACAAAATAAGTATCTCTAATTTCAGGATGGATATTGTGCTTGTTCTTTTCAATATTTGCTAAATAAGTGAGACAGATGTAGCAATTTTCATCTGGTTCCAAAATTTAACTGGCTTAAATTATCTGCCCCTAGTAATAACTGGTAATAATTCTTTGATTGCTTTCCCCCCCAGAAAAAGAGTCATACCTGATAATATTGATTCGGTGACCTACAGCAGGTGCAATTGAAAACTGAGTACAATAGCAACAGTTACTTCCTTTGCTAAATGAAGAAAGAAATTTGTCTGCTTATAAATCCTAGCTTTTTAATGATAACTGTCATATATGGGGCAATGAATGAAAATAGCTACCAGAAGCTGTGTGGTTCAGCCTGATAACTTGAAAGGCTCTGTTCAATGCCCAACAATAAGTAAAAGCTCTTTCAATAGATTTGTGGATCCTGCATAAAATGAGATTATTCTTCAGACTACTCATCTACTAGGTTAAATGCTGTCAAATTTTTAAGCACAGTATAATCCTTCACTGGTAGTATTGATATGTTGTAACACATCCTGAGTTGAATAGCATTTGGAAAGTGCTGTTTGACAGACTTCATCACTAAATCGCTTATTTGCTGGGTATGGCTTCTGTTAATCAACCAGACTTAATTGAAAACCCAGTGTAAAGTCATTTTAACCATATTATCCTTTTCAGGGCATTACAGAGTACTTTGCCTATTTCTGTTTGCATAGTTTTGTATTTTAATGATCAACTTTCCCAGTTGATCCCCTATTTACAGACAGGTCTGTGTGTCTCTTTATGCTCTGTTTAATGCACAGATTTTCTTTCCTGCTCTGGTTCCCAAGACAGTCCTGTTATTAATTTAATCCATCCTGAAAGCACCCTTCCGTAGTGTCTGAAACAACCATTAGTTTATAAATAAAATAGAAACCCAGCCAGATGTATTTGTGCACATCTGTGTGATTGAACTACTATAACCCTCATCACCTCCCTTATGTTACATTCTAACCTGAAATTCATGATACTCTTTGGTTTTATCCTTTACTTCGGGATAACACAAAATGAGTGGTGTAATTTAGTGAACTGTACAAAATACATTTATGGTTTCCATTAACAAAACAGGCTGTATACAATTCAGTCTCTCTCTCTCTCTCTCTCTGGGAAAGGTGTGTAAATCCAGTTGATTGTTTTGTTTCCGAGTTAGTGGTCTGTACCAGATTCAAGAGAGACTGCACCAAGTGACAGATGGGAGAAAAATGTAAAGCTGATGTTTGTTGTATAGATAATTTATGAACTGTACAGTAGTACTTTTCAAATCATGTGAAGAGAAATACCGCTAATTTATTTTTCCATATCACCGTGGTGAGAGTCATTTTTTTATGTTTTCATTTGAGGTTAGAACTACGAGATGTCTGCATGTCCTGTGCCACAGGACAGCTTCAACTAAATTAAGCTATGTGTTCTTTTATTAAAGCATTTTTCATGGCCATTACAGGTAGGAATAAGCATCTGGAGATGCTTTTCATGTCACAGGAAGAGATTCAGGATGTTTTAAGGAACCATATACAAGACTGTCCTGAAGAACTTATTATAGAACTTACTGAACATTTAATAAGGTAAGTATATTCATTCATTAGATATTTCATCACTCATTTTAAATGAATCTTCTGGTTTGCTTGGTTGCCTAGAAAAAAAGGCGCTAACAGACATGAAAAAAAATGCTTTACCAGAAAAGGAAGTGTGTTAGTTTGACCGAGCTCCCCAGCATCTGTATAGAACTGATGCTTCAATGGGGATTTTTGGTGCTTTTATCTAAGAGCTGATCCAATCTTCAAAACACCCTGCTGAAGTGCCCAATGTATACAGATGTTCAGTGAGCCAGGTCAAACTAACGCGATGCCTCTTCTGGGGATGCACTGCGCTTAGTGTGGGGACGTGCCAAGCTGAAAGTAAAGTGCTGATTTCTTATTTGTTTGTTTTCATGTCTGTAAGCAGCCAAAAGCTTTTCCTGTCAAAAGTCATAATCCTAACTCTGACTTCCTCTATATATGGTTGCGTCTCTCCACAAAAAGATGTGCTGACAAAAATGGTGTGAAAAATGCTGTTTATTCCTGGCAGTTAATTGTATTGCATCATCTGTCAGCAACTGTTTCCTTTGTTGTGAACTGTTTGCACCACTTGAAACCTGTCGTAACTTTCTCGTGCCAGTTCCTGATCTGATATCTATTCATCAACCCTTTGAAACCTATTTAGGACACCATTACTGGGACACTTCAGTGTACATCTTGTTTGGATTTAGGAACAAGCCTTGTAAAACTGTAGAAGTAAAGTCATGTTTAAAAGTAAAGGTGTATTTACTTGGTTCTGGGACAGCCTTGAATTCAAAACAATCCCCCCCAGTAACTTGATTCCACACAAGGCAAAATTTTAATTTGGTATTGTTTTTATAATACTGACAAAAAACTATAGCAATACCAGTAAATCATAAATTCAACATTACTTTGAATTCAATTGACACTTAACTCAATTTCTGTTAAGTTCTGTCCAGAACCTGGTGAGTGCTACTGTGCACTGGATCCTTTCCTACTTCTGCTTAGAGCCTTGACATGCATTAGTTCCCTTGCTGAGTGCTGGGTCCCTTGTCACTGCAGCCAGGTCCCTCCCGGCAGCATGCAGGATTCCTGGCTGGCCCCTGCAGCGTACCTCCCCACTGTGTGTCTGGCTGGCCCATGCAGGGTCCCTTCCACCTGGCCAGCCCCTGTGGGGTCCCTCTGTGCCTGTCCAGCCCCTCTCCACAGTGTGTGGGTGCCTGGCTGGCCCATACCCAGTTGCTCAGAGCTGCTGCCTGGCCAGTGGATGCCAAGGCAACTCAGCAAGTGTTGGTCAGGCTCCTTGAATGCAGCTGGAGTATATGGTTTTTGATATACTTGGATTATCGCTACTTCTGTTTAATCGTTTAAGCTCTATTTAATATGTATCATCTTTTTTTTCTATTCTGAGGCCCCTAACAAAGAGCTATAAAGAAGTGGTACGTTGTGTATTCTTATCTTCAACTTCTTCTTCATCTGGAGCTAGCAGGAAACAGACCATCAGGGACTTGCAGGAAGAGGTCTCAAACTTGTACAATAATATCAGATTATTTGAAAAGGGAGCAAAGCATTTTACAGGTAGAGCAAACTTTTTCTTTTACTGTCCTCTCTGGCTGTTCATTACATTTCCCCCTAGCTTCCATTCCTATCTGCCCTGTGAATGTGTTTGTTTGCCGCTGTTTTCTTTCTATCTGAACCTGCCTTTCTGCTATTTGCCAGTTCCATGGGCAGATCTAGAACTTTTCAGAGATGGTGAGGTGCATCATCACATCTGAAACAACACATTTTTTTCAGTTAAAAATAAACGAGAAGCTTAAATAACATGCTAGGGACCTAGAGCTGTATTTTTCAGTTTACGATTGAAGCAAAAACAATGTAACTTCACTGGAATGAGTTAAAAGTCATCTGCAGGACTGAAATAGCTGCTCCGGATAATGAAGCTCCTAACAGACAGCAGAATTACAGAACAAAAACTACGCTGATTGGTGGAATATCAAGCCCCTCCTCCCCCCCCAAAAAATAAAATAAAATAAAAAAGAGGCTGTCATTAATATCTGTGGAATGAAGAGTTTAGACGGGATCAGGTAGATTATAGTGACCCATGATGTCAGTTGACTCCTTCAGTCCTGCCTGACTAGAAATGCTGCTGCCCCTGTCAGACAGTTGGTTTTAAACTTTGAGTGAACCAGGAATGAAAGGGAGGTGCCAAGTGCAAGCTTCCTTTCTCGCCCCCCAACCACCCCTGGCCAGTTTCTCTTCTTCTAGATATTTCTCAGTCTTGGGGGCTCATAGCTCTTTAATCCACTAAGTTAGGTTCACAAGCTTCGCTCCTTATATAGTTGTTCCTTTAGAAGAGCAGCTATCCTCTCAGCTACCTTAAATAACTTCAGGCTTCTTTCTGTTTGCTCTAAACATGTTAGACACATCTTGGAAATAGGAAAGATTATATCATGTGTTCAGATAGTATTCTCTAGACTGCCAGTGGTCCACTGTTGGTAGACCACTGATGTAGGTGGCTTGGACAATGCAATGAGTTATTCCAACTCTGCTTTTAATTACAAAAATTATATTTTACAGATGAGACTCAAACTCACCTTGCCAAACACCTGCTGAAGACTGTTTGCACAGACATTACAAATCTTATTTTCAACTTTCTAGCAGCTGAATTAATGATGGCAACAGATGATCACACTGCCATTACAAGTGAAGTATGTATATGCCATTTTCTTTCCTATCATGGCAGTTTCCCCTTAATAAATTTTTATGGATGAATAGTAGCCTTTTCACCATTATTTGTGAGAGGTTATTTCAGTTATAAAGTACTGAATAATGTACACTTAAAAATAATACTTTTTTCTCTGCCACAATAGGTCAGGAAAAAGATTATAGGTAAATTACCTGAAGAATCCAAAGGTGCTTTAACAAAACTACATGCTTCTTTGAATGGCAAGGTAAGTTGTTCCAAAAAATATATATATATATAAAATTTAGAATTTTCATTCTGCCAACACTCAGCCAGGCTGAGGAATATGGTGGGTAACTGCTGCTATTACGAAGACTATGCAAAAATCCACAAGCCAGATTCTTTTAAATCAATAAAAATAAGTAAAGCTTCATACCCTCAACATTCAAAGACTAAAGAGTAAGTTCATAGTAGAAGTTGTTACTTGCCTAGCTCTGTTTACACATTGGATCCAATGCATCTTTTACGTTTAGAAGAGATTTAAAATGCCATTTCTTAACCTTCAGTTAAACAGCTGGGCCAGATCCTGTTCCACTTGCTAAATGCCTCGGCCTTGCTACACAGTAATTTTGGGTGGCTGCTGGAGCTCTTAACACTTGGAAACTGGTTTGCTCGTTATGTCATTCAAAGTTATGCCACCTCAGGGCAGGATTAGCTCATCTGTGTTACCCAGCTTGTTACACTAAGGTGTAACTACTGTAGGTTACACCTTAGTGTAAACACCCTACTCAGCACCCCAGATCCCTGCTCTCTTCTCTCCCACCTTCCCTGCCTGGATAAGAGCAGCAGCCCAGAAGCTGTGGTGGCAGCAGCCAGACTGACCGGTTAACCCTTCCCTGCATAGGTGATGCATAGGAGGGGCATGGGGGGGGGGGGGCACATGCCCCCCCCCGAGATTGGCTGCCACTGGCTTCAGCGGACAGTTACCCTCCCCCGCCATGGCTGGCAGCTACAGGCAGTCCCTGCTCACCACCCCTCTCCCCCACTGCCAGTGGCAGTGGTGGGTGGTCCCCGCTCACCACCATGGTCCTTCCCCAGTCTTAGGAGGCACCAGTTGTTAATGCTTCCCTGCCTGCTCCCATAGAACAGACAGTGGGGGCAGCCACAAGTAAGTGGGGTGGCAGGGAAGAAGCCTGGAATTACAGAGGGGTGGGGAGGAGGTGGCATGGTTTCTTACCTTTCAGTTCTCCAGGCCCTTGCTAGTCTGAACATGTGACTGCTTGAAACTGAAGCTAGCACTAACACCAGTCAACATTTGAGAAGGTTGCAGTGTAATGTTTAACAAGGCCGTAAGTGCTCCTTTTGCTCAGTGCTGTTACAAAAGTAGGCAGTTAATAACCTTTTTTCAGGGATACAAGCAGGGTGGAATAGGATTGCGCTTAGGCACCTTAAAGGCAAAATAGAGTCTGGCCTTTGATTCCTGCATCCTCTACATGCAGCCTCTCACTTATTTACATGTTAGCAAAAAGCATAATGTGGGGGGAAAAGTTGACTACAGCAGCTGCAAAACAAAATGGAAAAATTATTATTGCTTGATTTCCAAAAAGGCTCATAATCATATTTTCCTTAGTAAAAGTAGATAATATGATCTCCTTTCTTGCCACACGTCAGTAATATTAATTACAGATTGCATTCAGGTTAAGATTGTTACTCTTTGGGCACATCTACATGTGCCGATTTAAGGCACATTAGCCAATGGCAATTTCAGACTATTTGTACCTAAATTTGATACTTGCAAAGCCAGGTGTCAAATGTAGGCACGAATAGCTAAAATGCTAATGCACATGTAGATTGTGTAGTGCTGTGTATATCGACTGACTTGGGACTAACTTTTGTCCCCAGTCAGTCTGCACACTGCATTAATGTGCCTTAGTGTGTGCAGGTGTAGACACACACCTATAAATCACCTTAATGCGCATTAGGCGAATGCACAGAAAGTTTAGGCGTGCTTGAAAGCACATGTAGATGTGCCCTTTAAGGTTTAAATATATGAGCTGTTCAAGGTTTAACACAGTTTAATTTTGAATGGAATATTACTTTCCCCTTGTCACCATTGCTTATTCTTACTTGACTTTTCAGGCAGGACCTGAATGCCACTGGTTATTAAAAAAATTGTGTAGTTATTAACTGGGTTTTTTTAACCCACTATATCTTGATATAATTTTTGTACTTTTATAGAGTTTAGAAGATTTTCTTTTGTGCCTTGATTCTGCAGCAGTTGCTTGTGATATTATGGTGAAAAAGGGGGACAAAAAGAAAGAAAGGTAACATTTATTTGCCTCATCAAATTGTTCAGTGTGGGAAATGTAGCACTTTCTTTCTGTACAAATTTAAAATAATTAGCTGGGTAACCTCAGTACAAATAGATGCATGTTGTGATTTATAGCCCTTCTTTTTAAAGACAGATCAGGCGTTCATTGCCAAGCACTTTGATCCATATCCTATCCTGCCTCTACGACAGTGAAGTAGTACTACATGGCTTTCTGAGTTCTAAGTCACTAATGTATCCTATCTGTCACAGAACTACTAAGAGGCTTAGATTTATTATGTGCCTTCAGTTTGTCCTGAAAAGGTCCCTAGGCAACTTGATTTGGGTTACTGCACATTTTCAGAAACAAGTTAAATGGCATCCACGACATCTAATTTTGCTTGGCTTTGATCCAGTTCCATCATCTTTGATTCCTTAGATGCTGAGTGGGTATTTGAAGCTGAATTCATGCATGCAGCTAGGACACACTTGCCCAGGAAATGATATCTGGACCCACCCTTAGTCAGTCAGACTTTAAATTTCCCATTTGCTGAGAAAGCACCTTAACCATCTGGCTCCAGGGAAGACATTGCTAAGATCATTCTCCATTCTGTTGAAACTAGTAGATTGAATGGAAGGAAAGTAAGTGTGACGGGGGGCATGCTCAGGGCTGAGTCTCGAGTCAGCCCGCCCACCTCTCTCTGTGGGTCAGTCTGCCCAGTCTTTCCTGCCATGACTTTGCTGTTCCCATAACTTCTGATGTCAGGGGGCACTATCCACTGCTCCAAACCTCCCCTACACGGTGGCCCATGCCTCGCAGATGGCATCCAGAATGACACTATGCTCCTGGCCTAAAGCCGGGCTAACTTACTCCTTCGTCAGGCCTCTTTCACACTCACATTCTTACCGCCCTCTTTTCACTAGCGCCTCTCACACTCTGCCGCCTCTCACAGAGTCTCTTTCTCGCATTGACAACTTGTTTTGCACTGCTCCTTCTTGGAGCGGTTCCCGTAGGCTTTGGGGCCTTATCCGGATCATGTCTTGGGTGGTGACATGCAGTCTGCTGGGCCTCTCCTGCAATCCTCACCTGGTTAGTGGCCAGCCAGTTCACCACACAGAGGGCTAACTCCACTGTAGCCCTTCACTGGGGCTCTCATATCCAGCAATGTGTTCCTCAGGGGTTTGGCCTATGTGCTGCCCTTCAGGCTGTCCCTCAGCCCTACTCAACCCTCATCAGGGTCCTCACTACCACCCCCTCTCTGGGCCTACACATCTATCCCCTCCCTGGGGCCTCTGGGGTCTCAGTCCCCTGTGGGGGTTCAGGTGGCTGCAGACATGCCTGGCCCCACCTGGGGTCTTACACCCCCTGGGCTCAGGTGGCCATAGCCATGCCTGACCCCCTTATACCCACAGAGTTGTGGGGGCTAGGGATTATTGAGGTGCCCTGACCCACCTTTCACCAGGGAGGTGAGTGGTCCTGGTTTTGAGTGGGACTGCCATGCCACTGGCAGTCCCACCACGCCTTCCTTCCCTGGCAGGGTGAAGTTTTAGGTCATGCCCAGGACCAAGAGCCTCCTGCTCTTACCTGCCAGGTGTTTCATACAGCAGTTCAGCCAAGGCTGTCAGCAGCAAACTGCTGTGTTTATATAGCTGGCCTGTGTTTTAAAATGGCCGCCACAATCAGGCACCTGCTGCCTGCCTGACTCAGCCCTTAGAGTGGCAGGCACTACAAGTGCACCACCACAGTAAACATGAAGGAGTCTGAGTCTGTGGCCTTTTGAAGTGACTACAGGCAGTCCTTGACTTACAGCATTTCGAGTTCCAACGTTTTACACTTACAACGGTTGGTTATGAATTGACACCCTGTTTCAACTTTCTGACGTCAGTTTCAATTTTACAACGCTTGATCCGATGCCATGCCAGCGAACAAATTCGCTGCATCGCCCATCTCCCTGGAGAACATCTGTCCAAACTTCCTTGGACACTTTCTTTAAGAAGGCAGACAAGACTCCAGAAAAACCAGCAGCCAAGACTCCTGAGAAGACTCCAGCCAAGAACCCTTCAAAAAGTCCAGCAAAGTCACCTCAAAGAAGTTCTTCCAAATCAATATGATTGCTATGTACAATATAAATACATTAATGTAGCTATATTACTCATCTATAATTGATTGAGTACAAAGTTCTGGGTTATTTTTGGTGAAAATCGGGTATTGGGCCTTGGTTCAGGAACCAATCCCCCATTTATAACATTGTTTTCTATGGGAAAATTGGTTCCGAGTTACGTTTCAACTTGACACGGTTTTCAGGAACCAGTTGTGTCATAAGTCTGAGGAAAGTCCCAGGTTCTGAGCGCTTCTTGTGATGCTTTATGCATCTTGTGTTATGTAAATGATTTCTCCATGAGTGAGGGAATATAACGTAAGTGTATACGGCTACCCATAGAGACAATGGGACAGCTGTCCTTCCCCCCCCCCACCCCCCCC